AAGGGGTTGGTAGTAAATGCTTGGGAGTAAGAGGGGTGTTTAAATTCGGGGGGCCACTTACGGTGAAAAGGTATGGACTATTCATTTACCCCCTTTCTTAATTACATTAATCCTGGCCAGCAGAGCAAATAATAATAATAATATATGGAGATATACCTATCTCATAGAACTGGAAGGGACCCTGAAAGGTCATCAAGTCCAGCCCCCTGCCTTCACTAGCAGAACCAAGTACTGATTTTGCCCCAGATCCCTAAGTGGCCCCCTCAAGGATTGAACTCACAACCCTGGGTTTAGCAGGCCAATGCTCAAACCACTGAGCTATCCCTCCCCCCAAACCACTGAGCAATCCCTCAAGATTCTACTCCTCTCTAAGATTACCACCAACATTTTTGTGGCAAAGTGTTTTTTGCACTGAGCGCACACAAAGGAGTTATTTTACAGGAGAAGGAAATTTTTCCAGAAAACAGTATGTGTAAAAAGAGTACTGATCATGGTATGTAGGTGTTGTGGGGGGTGGGGGGAAAGGACTGCATAACTAACCAGTTTTTCTGCAATATCCAGAGCCTCCTTGTGCCTTCCTAGGTGAGCTAAACACCGAGCCTGGCCCTCTTGGACATCTCTTCTCATTGCAACGTTACTAGAAGGTAACAGCAGCAAGCAGCTCGAGTACTCATACAGGGCTTTCTAATAGGATGTTTGCAAAAATAAAAGTTAAAATGAAAAGCAACAGGATATAGGACTAAGCAGAACTAAACGAAAAAGATCAAAAGCTATAACTTGAATATGCACCACAATTACAGCTATAATCTGAATGGATAGGAATTTGAAGATCAAATTAACAACTTATTTTGTTTAAGGTGACCTGCCAGGTACTTTGAAAAAATGGGCATGAGCTGGTTTTTTGGAGGGGGTGAGGAGGGAAACGGTGAACTTCTTTATTATGTATAAATATTAATAAGGATGATGAATATAAAAAGTGTTAAACCCAAGCCTTCAGCCTGATGAACAATCTCAACTATCACTGATGTAAATGAGGTATCAGAAAACATCTGGAGAAATCTGTTCTATAACTCAGCTGATAAGTCAATCCTTACAAAATATATTTGATTACAGAAACCATTTTTCATTTGGACCCAGTCTGTTTTAAGTGGAACCTGCTATATTTCAAGTTTTGAGCCTTAACTGCTTGAGGTTCCCCTTAAGAACTACAGGACATAAACATTCCAGCTGTCGATGCAGAAAGCTTCAATTATCCAAGACCTCAATCTGACTTATATCCCTGTTTCGCAGAAAGTACTGGAACCATGAAAATACCTGAAACTCTTGTTGTCTGTATGCCAAATCACCTCTGAATTTTTTGGCAGTTAGAATTTCAACATCGTCCTCGCTGTTTGCGTCCTCACAAAACCACTGTAAACACAAAGGAAAATATTCAAGTGTATTGTGGAAATTGAAGTTATGATTTTCAACTTGGCTATTAAGCAGTTTACAACAACAACTAACAGCGTCTGGACTGAGTAGAGTATTTCAGGATGAGACTACACAGCAGTAGATTTGTAAGTGGAGACACAGCATGAGGGCCAATGCAGCCATTATATTTAGAACAGGGGCGGGCAAACTACGGCCCATGGGCCGGATCTGGCCTGTGAGCCATTTTAAGCCAGCCCGCGAGCTCCCACTGGGGAGCAGGGTTTGGGGCTTGCCCCGCTCTGGCGCTCCAGCCAGGATGCTGGGTCGGGGGCCACACCCCGGTGCTCCAGCTGGGGTGCTGGGTCGGGGGCCACACCATGCGGCTCCCAGAAGCCGCAGCATGGCCCCGCTCCGGTGCTCTAGCCGGGGTGCAGGGTCGGGGGCTGCTCCACGCGGCTCCCGGAAGCTGCGGCATGGCATTGCTCCAGCTCCTACGCACTCCAATGGCCCCCTTTGGTGCTCCAATGAGAGCTGCAGGGCCGGTGCCTGCAGATGGGGCAGTGTGCAGAGCCACCTGGCCGCGCCTTCGCATAGGAGCTGGAGAAGGGACATGCCACTGCTTCCAGGAGCTACTTGAGGTAAGCGCCGCTTGAAGCCTGCACACATGAGCCTCTCCCCACACCCCAACTCACTGCACCACCCTTGAACCCCCTCCTGCTCTCCAAACCCCTCGATCCCAGCCCGGAGCACCCTCCTGCACCCCAAACCTCTCATCCCCAGCCCAACCCCAGAGCCTGCACCCCTAGCCAGAGCCTGCACCCCTTCCCGAACCCCTGCTCCAGCCCTGATCCTCCTCCCGCCCTCCGAACCCCTTGGTACCAGCCCGAGCACCCTCCTACACCCCAAACCCCTTATCCCCAGTGCCATCCCAGAGCCCGCATCCCTAACCAGAGCCCGCACCTCCAACCCCAATTTTGTGAGCATTCATGGCCCACCATTCAATTTCTATTCCCAGGTGTGGCCCTCAGGCCAAAAAGTTTGCCCACCCCTGATTTAGAAGCTACCACACTAAGCTCATAAACAAGTAAGTTCACCATAATGGGTAAAGATAATACTGCATTAAATGCAAACATTTATGGTACAATAAGTTAAGATTGCAAACCAGACATCTAAAAAAAATAAGGAAATTAAAAAGTTAAGGTTTCAACAGCAATTTATCTCAGGTATGTTACACAGCCTATGTATTTTATAGCAGGGGTTCTCAACTTATTTCTTTCTGAGCCCCCTCCCATCCCCTCCAACATGCAATAAAAACTCCATGGTCCACCAGTGCCACAACAACTGCTTTTCTGCATACAAAAGCCAGGGCCGGCATTAGGGAATAGCAAGCAGGGCAGTTGCTTGGGCCCTGGCTTTTGTACCGCAAAGCTACATTGCTCAGGCTTCAGCTTCAGCCCTTGGTGGAGGCCTCGGGGCTTCAGCCCCAGGCAGTGGTCTTTGCCTTTCTGCTCTAGGCCCCAGCGAGTCTAATTCTGGCCCTGATTGACGGACCCCCTGAAACCTGCTCGCAACCACCTAGGGGCCCCCAGACTCCTTAAGAACCACTGTTTTATAGCATACCTTAAGTACTGGCAGGCTGAAGTGTATAGTCAACAAATAGAGTAGAAATCTAAACTTTTCAATTTCCTGATTCACATTCTTGGTTTTCTGAATTTTAATGTTGCATTCACAGTCATTTTCGTTTTTTTTTCCCCTAAGAAAGATTAGAGACATGCCACTGAAAAGTTTTCACAAAGTTCTGCTCCTTCTAAAGTGCCATAGCAGCATGACTATTCTATTCGACAGATTCTTATACCATCCTCATCACCATAGTATCTGAGCATCTTCCAGTAGTGCCTTAATCACCATAACTAACATTTGCCACGTGTGGTTCATTCTCTCTCTCATCCCCTCCTCAGGATGTGTTCAATGGAGAGTTTTGGTTTGGTAGGGTGTGGGTGGAGGCTAGAGGGGTGTGTTTTTTTAAATGTACATGCCACTATATATTTATGTTAGAGCAGACAAATGGCCTAAACTCAGAAACACTGTAAAGACTACTCTCAAAGCCAAAATGGACTATCTGCCATCAGCACTCATTTTACCATTTGGACACCATGAAAAACTGTATGGATTATTATTTGTATTACCATAGGAGCCTCAGTCATGGACCAGGATTCCATAGTGCTAAGTGCTATACGAACACAGAACAAAAAGCCCCAGCCCTGAAGAGTTTACAATCTAAGAAATGGATAAAGGTCTAATGCACATGTGTGAACACTGCAGGCCCCATTCTGCTCTCACTTAGACTAGGCACTGCAAGAACCCCATCCCCTAACAGTGCCCTGGCCCAGCCCCTCCCCACAATGTCCCCCCACAACAGTGCCCCTCAATCCAGCCCCCCAAAAGTTCACCTGACCCAGCCCCCCAGACACAGTACCCCCCCCAGCCCAGTCCCTACTGCCTGTACAACAGTCCTTAAGATTGTCACCTTTCTAATTGCTGTTAACCAGAGCCCTGCAGGCCCTGCTCCGCCTCTTCCCCTAAACCCCCATCCTGTTGCTCATTGGACGTCTCCACATCCTTCCCCCCAAACTGGGCTCCCTCTGCTGAGCAGGAGCTGGTACTGGTTAATGATCTGGTGCCTCCCCCTGCCCTGCGGTAACCAGACTGTTGGTGTCCAGTCAATACATCTGACTGGACACTGCCAGGTCCCCTATTCAACTGGACTTTCCCTATATGGCACCCAGACACAGAAGCCAAAAACATGACTGTCTGGGTAAACCCCAGACAGACGGCAACCATAACATGGCCCCCCACTGCCCATACAA